AAAAAAAGAAAAATCAATGTACAATTGAGACAGTGGGAATCAGTTATGCAGCAATTAAATGCACAATGCAGGAGGACTATAAAATACCAGCTTGCTTTAGCAAATATGGTTGCTTGCCACCAAATACCTCAGAGAAGAAAAAAATATCACATATCTCAAATTCAGCAAGGCTTGTCTGGAAGAATGCTTGGAAAGGCTGCAGCACGTGCATTGTGCTGTAAGCAACAGTATTTCTGACTCAAGTCCTCCTCTTTAGTCAGCACCAACCAACGCACTAGTACACCACTGGAGATGGTGGAAAAGACCAGGCACAGGTACACAGATCAAGCAAGGCAATACAAATCAACTCACAAGAGGTAACCAGGATTATTTTCTCAGCCATGTTGCCAGAGGTCAGAAGCATATTAGTGCCAACTGTTAATATTTAGTGGCTCAAATGCTTCAATTCCTTCCAACTTCAGCATTCAGGCCCTTTCAAAAGTCTTGCAAGTACAATACACTTCTCTTTTCCTACCTCCTTGTATTGCCTCACACTTTATGCAGGGCAGCCTGTTTTAGTTAAAAAAAACCAAACAAACAAAAACCAAAACAAACAATAACCCAACACCCAAGTTGTTCTGAAGAATCTAGGCGCTTCCTGTGAACCATTTAAAACAAAAAACAGAGGCACTGACAGATTTCAACTTATTCTGCAACAGGCCTATTTTCAGGTGACATACCTCTCAAACAGGAGATTTGCTGTAGCGAGTTGTTTTTCAGATGAGCATTTCATATTGATGAGTTCATCCCAGGCTCTCTCGCTTCCAGGCATAAAACTGCCACTCTACCAACACAGAGGCAAGTGCCTGCCCCAGAAGTAAGTTACATATGAATAGCTCTGATGCCCATTACAAATAGCTATCTTTTCTTGGGACTCTTACAACAGATTTGCTGAACTAGAGAAGACCGCTTTCTGTCATGAACTGCAGAGCCTTTCCTGTTGGAAAGGCAAAAAGAGGAGAGGATTTCAGCGAGTGAGATGGTAGACCGGCTATACTGCCAATTTCCTTGAACAGCCTCAGTAAGGACATTGGCAGCACCCATTCCCCCAGGCATGCCTTCACTTTCATCTGAAGGATCCATCCTTGTAAAGGAGAAGTACCTCAATCTATACATCCCACATGAACCCAGCATGCCTCACTGCAACTCATGTTTAAGGAGCATATGGTCAGAGCCTGATCCTCTACTACAGTCAGAGGGGAAATAGCACCCACAGGTAGTGCTGGGTTCCAACCTGCCACTCCAAGGGTAGGCAAGATATCTGATCACCAGCTAGTTTGACCCAAGCACTCCCCAAGATGCTAAGCTCTACCCATAAATACAACTGGTTGTCCAGGTAACAGGGCCAGAGGGGAATCGGCCAGGGAGCACAAGGCTATAGGGGGGAATCTTCTTCCCAGTCTTACACATAGCAAGTTGTTTGTCACATCAAAAGTCAAACAGCCTTTTTGCGATGTGTTAGTTGATGACTAAGCTATGCTAATTAAAAACATTAGCTTCGCAATAAGGGATAAATACAGATGAAGAATTAAAATCAAGAAGTGTCTGTTCCACAAAATGTTGGGGGGAAGTGGGAAGAAGCAATCGTCATAGCTTAAATGGAACAATATACTGCCTCCAGGATATGGTAGCCACTGAAAACCCATCTTCCTTCCTCTCTACCAGAGATTAAACCAGAGAGTCACAAGGGTTAAGCTGGTCTTCAAGTTACCTTAAAATAAACACTGAAAAAACCCACTAAAAACCCAACCCACTCTCACACAGAATCCAAACCTTCAGTTCATACATATAGAAACAGGCAGAAGTCATCCCCTCTGGCCTCCTATCAGAGGAGCAGAAAGAAAGTATCTGGGGAGAAAAACACATCAATTTTGAATATTTTGTACTGTCTCCTTAGCTTTTAATACCAAGCATGCTGTATGCCCCTGGAGTTTCATGCTATAGCACACCACTTGAAAAGGAAATACTAACCTGGATCAAAATATACACAAATGAGAAACCCCAATATGTATGAAGGGATACAGGTGAACACTGGCCGACCCCAGAGCAGACACCACTGTTACAAGCACTTGGGTTTTAGGCTTTCCACATTACAAATGGTTCAAGCAGACAAGGGGGAAACAGACAAGAAAGCACAGGTTAGAGAGCTTTCAAGGCCTTATGGGAAGCTTTGCACAGGAGCTGTTCAGAAATGCTTCTGCCATCCTCCTCCTGTTCTCACTTCACAAGATAAAAATAATGGGGGAGACAAAACCCATGTTCTGCACTGCAACTTGTCTGCGGTCTCTCTCACCCACCCCCCCCATTTCAGGATAATTGTTTTGAATCATAGAAGATGAGAAGGATGTTGAAAAATGATAGAATATGAATAACTAAGTACAGGGCACTCATTCACAGGAAATGCCCTGCATATGTCAATTGAGAGTAAAGAAAAGACAAAAACAACAACGTCTTCCAGTTTTTATTTTCAGGTCATAAAAGCAATCACCACCCTGAAAATGAGCATTTCCTGGGATTTAACAACTGTTGGGTTAATAGTGCTAGGCAAAGGCAGTTATGCCTAGCCCATAATTTCACCCACATAAAATGTGTCACACTACATCTGTTAGTGATGTCTCTTCAGGATATTGTCAACAGAATCAACCTCAAAAAACAAAAGCTGTTTGGAAGTGCTGATAAACCCCTTCCCGCAGCTAATGCTTCCACATAGGTTCACATCAACGAGCCACACTGGACTACCTTTGTTAACACACACTCCCCACATATGCACAGTCACTAGCAAAGAACACTTGAAATCAGTCGCCTCAGATGGGCATCTTCTGATGGAGCCTTTCTCCCTCCACCCCAATACCTTTTTGCACACTTTTTGGAGCTCAGCTTATCTAGATATTATGTCCACATCATTAAAAATTGTGCGGTTTGCAAAGAGATCAGATTTTTATATCATCACTGTAGGCCTTTTCCAACTCTGCATTAGGAAAAAACTCTCCATCAAAATGAAACACTACAAGAGCATTGCACTGATCTGCAGATGCTAGCTGTGCAGATGCACTCATTCAATCTCTGTCTTCTAAGAAAGATCTTTAACTTGTCTAAATCCCTCCTATCCCTCTATTCTGTACTGATACTAAAGAGGTTCTCAAACCACCCTGCAAAAACAACAGCCCCTAGTGAAAGACAGCAAACTCCCTTACAAATTCACCAGAAGGCCAGCTCAGCCAGACTCAGGACAGATTATCCATGGAGGATTGCCACCACCTATCCTCAGAGAACCCACTATCACAAACCAAACGGCTGTACTAGGAGACCTGCTTTTAGAAACACAAGGATGAGCTTCTCATCAGCTTCATACTGCCAAGGAAAGGCTAAAGAGGCTAAGTCACTTCTCCCCTTCCCTTCTTGATCTGCAAGACATTTAACAGCTTTGTCTCATGTGATCATTTCACATCATACCTAACCAGTATCTTTACCACCACCCCTGCTCTTTCCCCACAGCCACAAATCAGATTTAGTGAAGAGACACAGTTTTAATGAACTATTTTTTTTGTGTTATATGACATGCAAAGTCATATTTCACTATATACCTAGGCTCCAAGCTCCTCTCTCTACTGTTGTGTAGTTTGTCTTTAGACTGGGAGCAGATCATTGGCATAAACCAAAACAATATATAGGTTGCATAGACATTCATCCTAGAAAACTTAGAGCTCTTTGGACTAGTGACTAGAAGTTAGTCTCTTTAAGACTATTTAAAAGTATTTGAGAATCAAATGCTTTTTGCTCTGTCCAAGGAAGAAGGAAAGAAGAGACAGAAGGAAAAATACCTTCTAAGTTTCAGCTACACGCCGACTCACATTCTTTCAGTTACACGTCCCAACATGTAACAAAAGATGCCACTGTATTCAAGTTCAATGTGTCTTGCATAAACAAAAAATTACTTTTTATTTAATGATAGAAAAAAATAAAACACAAATAGATATCTCCATGGATGTGTGTGTAACTGAAGTGTACAAGTACACTCAGCAGCACCCAAAAAATCTCAGAAGATTTAAATGAGCACTCCTAATGAGACCCCCTCAAAACTCAAGCCTTTGCACTCAAGGTAGCAGTTGCAGGAAACAAGGACAACAGGCCAGCACAGCAAGAAGAGCGGTAGCAAAGGAGCTTAATGCCTTATCACTACTAGAGGGATCTGAGGGGAAGAGGAGGTAGTCATAGGAATTATCCCTATCCTGATTAGCATTGGAACAAAGGCTCACATTAGTTCGTCAGCACTAGGACTCCCCTAGAGCACTGGATAATAACCTTGTTGAAAGCATTAGAGGGATTTCCTCCCCCTGCCCCCAGTCTACATCTCTTCTCTAAATGGGGATAAAAGGGTGAGGTGCAAAAAAGCAGCTTTATGTTTAGTTCTCTGAAAGACATATCCAGGTAGTTTCCTACCACTAAAACATAAAATATACAAGGAAGATCCTTCTATGATAGATTTTCAAAGGTAACATTTGGAAGCACGCATGGAAAAAAGTCAAAACAAAACAAAAACTATTTTCTGTTCAAGAGAAAAGGTCAGATAGTACAGGTGGTTTATTGTGCATGCTTAACTCCAGACAGCAGGAGTTCAACAGTTTCTACAGCAAAACCAGGGAGTAGTAAGGGAGTGAAGAATACAAGGAAAAAAACAGCTTATGGTATCTGAACACCACAAAAACCAGGTTAACAGAGGTGTCAGGAAAAAGGCTAAAAGCATGACTACAAAGGAGTCAGACCCTAAGAACATTTCAGAACACCAGCTTCCGAAACAGGAAGTAATACTAACAGTAAGTGGCTGTCTCACTGCAGGCGAACATGGAAGGCAGCACATTCTGACTTTAGTCTACAGAAAAGTCATGGCATTTGCACAAAATGCAGGTTTAAAAAGCAAAGAGTCAGGAAAAATAAAGTAACGGCATTAGCTTTCATCTTACCTGGTGATGACACAAGCTGGCATACAAATGTTGTCAAGTTAGTATGATTAAAGTGATGATTCAGTGATGACAGGTTGATTCACACACCTAGGAATACACAAAAAAGTAAGTATTAGCTGTGAGTACATAGGGGATAAGTCACATAAAAGAGCCAAAAGGCTGACGGGTAGAAGCAGCTCCATTATGTTTTTAGGACACAGGCACAGAGCTATGCTTCGGGTACAGACATTACCCACAAAATTCACATCTAGGTTTGAGATATACTGCACAAGTTACTCAAAACCAAAGAATATTCAAAACTACCCTCACACATTCCATTTAAAAAATCTCAAGTGTAAGAAGAGAACAGATCACAGTTTAAAGCATAGCGGAGTGTTACTGAAAACATTTTTCAGCAGCACTCAAGCTTTGCTAATTTTTTTTTTTTTTCAGTGGGACAGAAACTTCTGAGAAGTTACCTGAAATACACAGATTAGAACTGCATCAAGTCCAGCCATCAGATACACACATACACTCCCACAAATAAAAATCTAGCGATCACAAATACTGCATACTTCCCAAACAAGCACAGGAAAAAGGAAATTTATTTCTATGGTGCCAAAAAAACATGGGTATGTTTTATTGTCTTTTAACCCCCACACACACCCGTTTTATTCAGTATTAATACTAAAAATTCCAGGACTTAAAGAGAAAAGTTGGTTATTAATAAGGTAACCTTCTCCACTTCGGAAAGCACAGCAACCAACTGAGAACTGGGCATACTGGTCATCTAAAAGTGAAAGTAAAAGCTGTGCAGCTGAAAGGAATTTTTGTCTAGCCTGCTTAAAGATCTCCTTTGTTGTTAAACATTTCATTGTCACATTTAAATGTCAGCTTTTTGAGTCTCAGAAGCATGCAAGCCCTGCAAGACAGCAAACCAGAAACAGACTTGAGATGGAGGTTGTCACAGCTGATGAAATTAAAAATAAACCTAGCAAACTCTTCGTGTCTCTCATTCAACTTAAATAATCATACGCTTACCAAAAGACACAACCCCTGGTCATACAACCCTGCTCCTCATACCCACGAAGCGGTTTTTAATGGATCTCTGTTAGCAGGCTTGTATGGTTTTATAGTCTGTGCACAAAGCCAGGCAAAGCCTGAGATGAGCCTCCAGCATATTTTTGTTGCGCATCACAAAACCAGTTTGCAGCGTTTCAGGATCACACAGCTCTTTGCAATAATGCTTTAGTTTTATAAAGATGTACTACATTTTCCTAAGGGGAAAACAGGAGCCTCCCTCTCCTGAAGCAAGCAGCGTGCTCTTTTTGGGCTTTCAAAAGGAGTGAGGGGCCCTCGGAGAGGAGCCGAGTTTAAAGCTTTCAGGATGATCCCACATATGGCCACTGGGTCGCCAGTGGCATATGCAGCAGCAGATGGAGAAGTGAAGCTTTCATACCCTCTGAGCAATGCTCTGCAATTTTGACACTTCTCTTGAAGAGCAGAGATGTCAATCACCCTTCCAGGCTGGCGTTTCAGCACAGAAGGCATTCTCCTCAGGCCATGAACCAACACCAAAAGATAACCTACACAGGCTATTTTGGGGGCAGTTTCTGTCTTAGCTTTCAAGTATAATGAATCCCCACACAGCAGAGAATGATAAATTACTGCTAAGTCTTCTTCACTGCACATCGGTTTTCTTTTGCCTTTTGGCTCATTAGAGAGCAACACATACCCAGAATGCATCTTTACCTCCCCCCCACCCGTCATTTAAAGGAGTTTTAATTAACATTAGAGCACCTTACTAGGTCTAACAAATAAAATGCCTTGTGAGAGTGATTGGCACAAATGAGCTCCAATACCCAAAGGAGATTCTGGCACATCCCACAATGTAATTATATTAGTGTTGGCTGCTTCAATATCTACTTCTTGAAGACTTTCCAGAAGTTATTTACCAAGAAGAAAAAAAAAAAAACAAAACAAAACCACCAAACCACCTTAAATAGGCCAGAGATATTCAAGCATTTCACTAATCTATATATTTAAAACTACACATACAAACTATAGCTTATTTGAAAGCAAGCTGCCTTTAACAGCTACTGTTGAAAATCAAGTTGCACGTTTAGCTATTGAAAGATTTATATTTTTATGTAGTGTAAGAACATCACTCTCAAGCTCACAGAAATTGGGGGTTTGGGGTTGGGAGGGTGTTGTTGGGTTTGGGGGGTTTTTTTGTTCTGGTTTTATTTTGGTTTTTTGGTTTTTTTAAACAAGACTTATCAACAGGATTTTCTTCTTAAAACTTATGCTCCCTTCAGAGTCCTGCCAAAAGAGATCCAATACTCCAACATAACTTCTTATCTATCTTCATTCTCAAACAAGAAGCAAATTTGGTTTTAATCAGAGATTCTTTCAATTCCCACTCATTTTATTACAAAACCCCATTAAGCCAATGCAGGGAAAACCCAGGAACAGCAGCAAACCACAACAACATTTAATTACAAACCAGGAGGAAAATGAGTTGAGGGAAAATGTAAACAGTTTCAAAGTTTTCAAAATGGTTCTGGAGCTTTTAAAGCGTAAGCTAAGGAAGCTATGGACAGAGACATGGAGTACTGAAACTGGTTCACTCTAAGCCTGAGGCTAAAATGGTGCACATTTCAGCCTAGCAAAGTTCAAGCATCTACAAGGAAGTCATTCCTATGGCAAGTGAGTTTACACTGCTGGACTGAAAGCCATTCTAGTCCATAGCATACATACAGTGCAGTGTTTCATTCTCCACATAAAAGTGCTTTCAGAAGCCAGTTTCCCTTTACCCTGCTCTACCAGCTCCAAAAGCTGTACTCTACCTTGCCTACAAGGTTACTGCTGCAGAGGTGATGACCAACCCATTCCACTTAACACTCACTTATACCAGGAAGCAAGTTTACTGCTGGGTGGGCTGGTTGCCAGGATAGCAGTTCCCCTCTAGGAACCACCAGAGCAACACAAGACACATCCACCCTCTGTGCTGTGGAGAGGTTCGCAGTGTATGCTCCCCTTTCGGAGCCTGCCCACTGTTCAACACCCAGTCAGAGAAAGCCAGAAGCTGGGGGAAGGGGACAACTGAAGCAGTGGGAAAAAGGTAGTGGTTTTATACCTCTAACTTCTGGTCCTGCAGCTCTTTTGACAGCATGAGCTTCCTCAATAAACTGTCTTGAATTATCACACACGAATATCGTCAGTTTAAAATAAAGAAATAAGCAAGCAAACAACAGGCCAGGCTTCCACTGGTCTCTTATTAGCATCACTAGGCTCTGAAAATACCCTGTTCGCAGACTGCATCACAAAGTAAGCCGTGCGAGAACACTAAGCCTCCTGTGAGAGAGCACTAGCTGCCACTATGCAGTAACAAAACAAACAGCATACGAATGGCGGGGGAAAACATTTCTTGCTACGTACAAGAGCTCGCTTCCTGAAATTTATAGGAAGCATTTCCACTGGTTAAACTTAAAATCAGTTTTTGCAGCTGCTCAAACAAGCCTGCTAGCAGAGTCAAGGAAAACACTGTCTGCCTAACTACAGAACAGCAAAGCCAGATGAATTACACAGAAGGACTTGCAAAAACAGAGAGTGCTTCATCAGTCATCTACCTGCCCCTAACGACTACTCTCTGTGCTGGGGCTTAAATCGTTCCATCTGAAGTAATTCCATTTGTACCCAGAATAGCTTCATAACAGAGATTAAACATGTATGATGGCATTTCTGAAGACATGACACTTGTCATGATGATAGCTAGATAAACATACAGACTACTGTATTTCTGGCAAGAGAAATCTACTGTAACCAATACCACATTATGAGCAAACATCTTTGCTATGTATGGGTTAAGTTCTCCCTTTTCCTGTTCTAGGAAATGCCTTCACCTTTGTGTTTCTATTTACATACTCCTAAAGCAGAATTCAGTCCCTGCCTCTTCTCCCCTTCCACACCCCAGTCTTTCAGGCAAGCAGGGCCCAGCCCTGCCAGCAAAAGATCGCCTATCTCCCAGCTAAGCCTGATCAGCTGGTTATAGCAGCCGACAAGTGGCTCAGAAGACAGGGGAGCTGCAGGGAGTCCTTGTACCTGGCAGAGCGCACAACAGGACACAGACTGGGAAACACTGGAGCAAGGCTTCCAAGCTACTGACCTTTCATGCAGGTATCAGCAGGCAAAGGGCTTCTCCGGAAGATCTCAGGTTAGCAAGAAGAGATGCAACTTTCAAAAGGGCAAAAAAAGACAGCAGTGGCCTAACACACTCTGGGTGCAATGTCAAACCTTCCTGGACTGACAGAGGCCAGCGGCTTACACCTGTTTTCTTATGAAAGCAGAACAGGCAAGGGAAATATTTGGGCGGTATAGCAGTACACGGCTGTGGTGTGAGCAAGTACACTGATAAAAAGCAGAAGTGATGCAACAGGAACAGCCGCAGACACAGAAACCCAAGTCTGCAGCTAAGAGGTTGCACAGCTGAGGAGCTGAGGTTAAGGCCACTGCAGACTGCTCTTACCAAGAGCTAAAACAGTTCTCCAGACAGGAATAAAACAGCCAAAACCAACCATGATCGCAGGACACAACTAATCCCATCAAGATCACTACACTATAGGCAGCACACACATTTAGTGACTTCAGTAACCATTGCTCGCTGACTCCCCAGGCAGCTCATGAGCTCAAGCAGCCATTTCAGTCCACCTTCACATGCTGCACTAAATATAAACTCTGCTGATAACTGTCTGGAAACTGTTTCAGCAGAGACACCCTGCACTGAACAACTCAAGGACACTGGGCCCTCCTCAAAGACCACAGCTGGTCAATTTGCATGACAAGCAGAGAAAAGGTGACAGAACCAAAGTCTCTGTTACAGTAACGCTGTGGCTGGGAAATTTCAGCCTCCAGATCAGTACTTTCCCAGACCCGGACTTCACTGAAGCATCTGCGTATTAAAAAAATCCTTTGAAGTCTGAACCCCTTTAAAGTAGAACTTGTCTAAGAGGAGGTTATGGCTCCCTTGTCATGTGCTACTCTGCTCTACAATGAGGTGCAACACCATAAAGTGATAACAATCATCTTCAATTTTAAAAGCTAGTTAGATTAGGTTGCAGGTTTTTCAGGCACATTTCCTCCACCCCAGTGGCCCCTTAAAGAAACGTACCTCCCTACTTTCAGACAGTACTCTCTTCTCTAGTGGTCCATAAACCACTCATTTATATAACAGGACGAGCCAATTTAAGAGGGGCAATGAACCTCCAAACAAGAAAAAAAAAAAAGTTATTTTCTTCTCCCAGTTTTGCTTACAGAATCACCACCAGAAACAACATGCAAGTCATAAAAAGACAGAAGCGTGATCTGTAAAACTGCCAGTGCCACAACTGGCCACCAGATTACAATACAATACTGGAAAGAATTATTCTCTCTGCATAGAAATATGCCCCCCAAAAATAAGCGTGGCACAAAAAGAAGAAAAGGAGGCAGACTTGCAAAGAGATTTATGACAGACACCTGAAGAGGAGGCAGCGGTGAATGAAATCAACGATAAACTGCAGACAAAAGCACTGATCCTTAGAGCACTGGCATTTAATATGCAAATTCTCTCTGCTTAGGCGTTTTGCCTCCCTTTGATGTATACGGACAAGTTCCAACTAGAGATGCAGACTGGGGAGAGTCCCCTTCCCCCGTTATCTCAAGTATTTTTTTTCTAGGCAACAGTTAAGTGCTCTGAAAATAACTATATCACTTCTGCTTCTGCTCAGAGGGGAAAAGAAAAAAACAAACACCACAAAAAAAGAGAAGTATAAAAATTGTTATTATTAAAGGAGAAAGGCAATGTCTTCCTAGCTCTGACGCAGGATGCAAGTGGCAAGCTGGTGCTTGATATCTATAGCGCAGCCTAGGAGAAGAGAAAGACAAGCTGAACAACAAACAGAGGACAGTAAAGATACTCTGGAAGAGATCCAGATGTCTTGAGCTTAGTCCTACCGCATGAAAAATTAAAGAGGTTAAAACCTCCTCTTAAAAACTTTTCTTCCCGTTGTTCTGACCGCAAGTCTCCTGAACAAGCTGCATTGCTCCAGAAACCTCAGGAATTACGGTGACAATAGACTCCTGCCAAGAGAAGCACCATTACATAATAGCGTTTATGGGAACACACACAAAAAGCCACTAGGAAGCGCAACCAGACAAGTGCAGAATCCTCTCTGCCCATCAGCTCAGTTTAGCTCTCAACCATTCCGAAGACGACTTCAGGATATTTTTAATTTATATGTTTACTTCCTCTCACCTCCTTCCACCCAACAAAATCTGTGTTACTGTAACTACACCGAGACCAAGCCCATTCCCAACAATAACGTAACCCCCTGGAGAATGAGCCCACTTGAAACTACTGTATTTGCATTAATCTGTTTAAAAGAACACTATGAAAATGAAAAGATGCATCACTGATTCCACTAAGTAAATATATGAGAAATAAGAACTATTTATTATGACATTTTTTCATCTTTTCCTCAATTTTAGGGATACTTAAAACAGCTATCGCTTTTCAGTTCTCAAACGCCCAGCGTGGCTATTTTTGAGCTCCAGGTCCTCCAGGGGATTTACGATAGATTTGTTACACACACGTACAGGTTCAGCCTAAGCCCTGCACACGTGTGAAGGCAGCTGCGAGGGAAGCTCTGACCTCCGGGCACTGTTAAGGCACCGTAAATAAGAAAGCAGAGATGAAGCCCTCGCGAACGCAAAGTTTCTCACGTTAAATCATCAGCAGCGGAGCCTTCACGAACGCCTTCCCCTCAGACACCCCTTCTCCTCTGTGCCTCCCCACGCACCCACAAGCTCTGCGAAAGGAAGAGCAGAAGGGAGCAACGACCGCCCCTCGGCTGCTGCCCTCGGGGTGGGGGGGGGTGTTAAACCCCAGAGGCTCACCCCACACCAAGAGGCTCCGCAAGCCTAAACGCACGCTTTCCAGATCGCAGACCTGGGAGAAAACCCGTCTCTCCCGTCCACGCCGCCGCTGTGACACGGGGGAGACGCAGGTACCGCAGGTGACGTTATGTAACGGACCCGGCCCGAAAGCCCAGCGCCGGCCTCCCGGGCCGGGAAGGGGCTCCCCCCCTTCCCCGCAGACCCAGGGAAAGCCAACGCCGTCCCTTGGCCGGGCCGGCCGGGCCGGGGCCGGCGGCCGGGCGGCTCTCTCCCTCTCTCCCCCCCCGCCCCCGCCGGGGCCG